CTTCGTTGATGGTTTTATTTTATACCTCTCGAATGCGAACAAATACATTTTCTTTTTTCGCAGTAATGTAATTCCTTTTTATGCAGTCCTTTTTGGTAAAATTGAATAATTTCAGATTAATGATGCTTGAAATGAATCTAAATGGACACTGCTGAGCAAAGCCTCTTCTCACACGGAGAAGGTTTGAGCATTAATCAGCACGCTTGCTCAATGCAGGTTGGCGATTACAAACTTATAATTACAAATTATAAGCCCAGGTTTCCTCACGATGTTTTTCTTTACCGTTTGTCAGTGGTGTCTAGATAATCTTAGAAAGTACATATGACTCTGAAAAACTTACATTAATACTTGCCGTTGGTAGGTTTCGAACCCGCACCCTCATGCATGAGAAGCGGGCGTCTTAAACCCCCAGGCTACCACGACCATAAATGGAAAATTGAACTAGAATGTTTTTTCTACATTTAAAAACAATTAAACCATACAACCACCACTAGTCCTTGACACTGCTGAACTATAAGTCTCCTTCGTAATAAGAGGGTCGCTATAGTCTCCATGGTTTACAATCAGATTGTAGATCGTACTATAAAAGGGTTTCAAATACAACTATGCAAGTAGAAGAAAATACTTATTTGTCATTATTAAATGAACAATTAATATTAAGGTTAAAGTTACAATGGTTGTAGTAACAGTTGATGCTCGATTGTATCCATTTCACGCGCCAATCACAGCCATTATTACCAAGTACCACTCCATTCTATGCCAGCCAGCGATAGTGATTGGCATTTATGAATAATTTAACTAATTGCCTAATCGTTAATTCATGTAACCTACACTAGAATAATTTAATACAACATTTTCAAATTAACTATCATATAGAATGGTAGCTTTGATAAATAAATGTAACAACAAAGAAATCAATTTTTTATTTTACTAATATTAAAAATGCAATATTTTTTTGACTGAGTTTGTATTGTTTGTTACTCAATCATGTCAACATGGCTGAGGAATTAGAATGCAATTCGGAACCGGGATAGATTATGATGTAAAAAAATATGTACGCTACTATTTGTCCCACGAGAACACGGGCAAAGCTGCTATCAGAATCTGGTATATTATATTGTATAAATACTAGACTGCTCAAAGGAAGATTAGAACGTAAATCATACGCTACACTAATAATATCCTTGTAGGAATAATTATTGCCATGTACAAGCAAGAGGAGTAACTGTAAACACTCAGTTGACCGGCAAATCAATTTATGCTCTATAGAATTATACACATTAGGTTCAATAAGGATTACAACGCATGTTATTGAGTGATACGATTAAATCCAACACGCACCTATTGTATATCTATTATAATTAATAACATTAATTAACACCTTGTATTATACACCAAAATAGCTTCCACGTGACCGACCCTTGATGACCTTTTACATAATTATATGGACGGCACGTCATTATGTATTAGAGCTCTCTTTGTATATACTTGTCGTAAAACCGGAGGTCAGTTTGTGTTGGACAAGTATACGATTATATGCTGTCGCCTATACCATTACGAGAAAGCCGTTATTACGCAGATACCTGAGATATATTACTAAATAGATTATGTACACCTGAATCCTTCTGATTCCATTAAGTAAACAACATGTTTATTTATACTTTATGGTTTACAGCGTCATTGTTTTTGCCGAAAGTAGATCTAAAGAGATGAGGTATTCCTGGTAATTTAGAAATAGCAACTTTAATATCTTGTGCTAAAGTTTAATTTTCATGGTACAAGATTTATTTAGGGATTTGTGTACTTATGTTCGTTTTATTTATTACTCTTAAGCAAACAAAAAACTAAGTCAATATACTTTTGTGTGGGAGAAAATAATATGATATTGTTATCTACGTTGTAACTATTCTATATCGGGTACTGATGAGAGTTTTATACTACACGATAAAATTTTCCATGAAACAGATCGACCTATCAAAAAATATTATATTATTTCAATTGTATTTTTGATGTAATTCAATAAAACATTGTTTAGTAAAACCCAATTATTGTAAGAGGTACAGCTTGTTTGAAGAACATTAATAATTTAAAGCTACAATGGGCGGTCTTATCGTTGACAGCGATATCTTCCAGCCAACCTTTGGAAAGACAGAAATCTGATAAAATTAATCATAGCCGTCTCTCAATCTGTGGTCCAAATTCCATGTAATTTTGAATAAAATAACATTAATGTTTTTGTGAAACATTTTTCGTATTTTTTGATGGATTTACTAAACGCGGATTCTTACAAAAACGAGCTACGATAATTCGTAGCAAGTGCTACGAGAACATAAAACTTTCGTAGCGGTTGACTCGTAGCCTGCATATTTGTGCATTATCCTTTACAATTAACATCATACTATCAGTCACCTATTTCGGATTGGTCGGTTTGAATTAAGGCAAACGATGACGAGAGGTCGTCGTGTTAGTTCGGATGTCATCGCATCGGTTAGGATGTGGTCTTTTGTGACGTGTTCGAGCCACGCCATGATAATGTGCGGTGGTGGCCGAATTCCCGTTACTCGGTCGCACTTTCAAATAACGATTGCGATTTTACGACCCCGGGTTTGCCTCGATATTTGTGAAAGAGCTGATAGTGGTCAGATTGGTTGGGTGTAGTTACTAACCTGTGTGCCGTATGCAACTTCAGGCAGAATATTCCTAAGTAAAACAAACAGGATCACGTATAAAATACAAAAATATCGTTTGGAGACTGTTTCCGAACAGAAAAGGCAGCGTAACTGAACGTTAACTAAATAATGTTCATTACGTATTAATGTTCAATTGGTATGTTTTACGTCGGGCGCGCGCCGTGTGACCGCGCGTCCTCCCCAGGGAAATCAGCCTGCGATCCTCCGAGCCTACACAATACTATACTTTACCTGTTTGAGTAAACCTTACGAGCATTTTTACCATCGAACATTACACCTATATGTTTCCAATCAAACATATAAGGCTTTCTCTCCAATCGGCTTATCGTTTCATCGAAATTCCGTCAAGGAGAATTAGACCAAACATTTAATTTGCCTTCAAATAAAATCAAATTATATTTGGCTTTAATCATTGGGGAAAAAATCAATCGAGAGGAAAAGCATTAGTCTATAAATAAAATGGGGATGGCCTTTTAGATTGAAACCCTATATCAGGAAAGACTGAAATTGAAATAATTATTTGGGCTTTCGTGGAATTATTGTTATTGTTTGGTAAGTAACAGGAGCTTTTACGTATGTCTCCTTCCTTTTATTGGAATATTTCTTGTAATTTGTAGAATGAATAATCGTAAACACATTTTATTAAAACATGTGTATATAGCTGTAATGTTTATATATTTATATAGCTGTAATGTTTATATGTGAAACAATGGTTTACTACTTGCAAGCACATTAGCCAGTAAGTTCAATGCAACACGGAAAACAGGTGTCGCGTTGATCCGTTAGTCCGATTCATTTTCAAAATGACATGTCCATTGCCCATTGATCTGCATGTTCTAAACGCGGGGGCCGCGCTTTTATCAGACCCGTCAATGTAATGACAACTTCATTATGATACGACGTTTAATTGACATCTATAAGAATGGACAGCAAGTCGATGCGAGATGCATGTTGAGTGGAGGATATGAGGCTAATGTGAGGAGAGGGGGAGAAATGCGTTCAATGGGAGGAATGCGTTCAATACGCTGGTACATAATAAATTATTCACTCGGATACAACTCTACCGACTTTGGAAAAGTGCGAATGGGTGTCGCGGGACGTGGATTAGAAAGTTTTCTAAAATATTAATATAGTATATGATATTGATGTGTTACTGTAGAACGGTTAAAGTATAGTGTATAATATTTATATGTATAGGCTTTTCTTTAAATAGGTACTACATTTTCTTAGAATAATGTCTATGTATAAGTCAAACGAGGTAGCTCAACTAGTTTGATAAAAATGGCTCAAACCAATGATAAAAATATCCGACCGATACAAGATTATCTTGTTTTGTAGGGCAGTCAGGTAAATATAATCATTCCTTTAAGGTGAAGGCGTATGGAGGACGTAGTGACGTTATTTTCACGCCTCCACGCTTACGTCATTGCCTCTATAATGAAGAATAGTCTATTTTTGGGATATTAAAACTACCCACAACCAGTAGATCTTGCCTAAAACAAATAGAGAAAGCTAAGAACACATTTATAAAAAATAATGAAAATACCTATTTACTTTTAACATTCTGCAGTTTACAGTAGATCAAAATGTTAGCAATTTATACTTCCACGCATTTTTATTTGAAGAACTCATGATTACCATGTATGTAATAATTCATTGACTATTATATCTTAAACTAGTCAAACAATTTAATCAAATAATATTTGTGCGCGATGTGTTTATCTCAAAAACCATTTGAAATATAGCTGATATATCTAAAATTGCCATTAGGATTGTCTGACGATCTGCTTGGACCAATCTACGAAACAAATTTCATTCGAATCTGTGATAACACATGTTAATTACACGGCTAACTCAGATTTAAAGTAAAGCTACAGTCGACTGTCGATGCAATCGAATAATGAAATTAGCAATTATCGATTGTTACATTGATTAATGTGGAATTTCGAAATATGTCAATTTCGATTCTATTCTGCGAAGCGGATTAGCGGAATGGCAAACTGCGACAGATTCACGGAATGATCTAATATTGATTCAAAGTAATGCGGTGTGCTAAGTAAGATTGCAGTTTCAATAGTTTCGTGATCAGCGTGGCGAGAATTGATTAGGTCATGTTTCACATGTTGTTTACTTCACATTTTCTCATTGCCTATTGCGAAAATAATCAAGTGTAAAATGTAATATCGTTCAAACTATCCGAAAAATTGACTATCTGTAACGATAAGATCTTGTGTTCAACTTCTTCTTCTCGCAGTAAATGATGTACGATGCAAGTATCTAGAAGTAATAAATTAATAACTATATACTTACATGATGTATTATATCAGTAGCAGCGTAGAAACTTTCATGTGGATCAGGTCGTTTCATCATGTAGGGTCTGGGGAACTCTGTGTCCTCGCAGATTTCTGTACAAAAACAACACTAATCAGGGCTTTGTTACAACAACAACAATCAAGGTGTAACCAACATTTTGATAACGTTGACACGACACGAATATGTTTTATGAAAAAAATACGTATCCCGGGCCGGTTCAGTATAATAATGGATCGTTCAGCCGCGCCACGGATGGACGCCTCGCGCCTGAAACGTCAGTCAAAGTCACAGATAATTCGTATTTTTGACCAAAAACCCGTCACTATTTTCTCCCCCGCATTCTTCTACAGATACGCGAACCTGAGACCTTTTATCCCGTGCTCGGGGCGCATCATCTTTTCAATATGGCCTCTGAACAATGGCCGGCTTTCCGGCCGGACGTCCGGCCGCCCGTAACGAGCACGTATCTTGAATTTTCTTTTAAAGGGGGCTGGCCAGTGTCAAAATGTCCGAATTTCAGTTTACTACAATGTCAGTCGAATTTATAGACATTAAATTAGATATACAAGTGTTATCGAGTTTAAAAATAGGACTTCGCTAAATTTGTTTAAGTTTTTATCATTGTCAAATTATACAAGTGAAAATGAAATATCACAAAAGATAACAAACTTTCGGGGGTCGAGCAAAAAACTCGTTATCCTCCATCAGATAGCAATACATAGCATTTTCCTTAACATTCGTCAGAACGTCGCGTTTATTTTCTAAAAATGTGTAGTTAAGAAAATCATTAGGTCGTTTCATTTTCAAGCTATTCGTATAAGAGTCTCTGGTATAGGGAGAGCGAGGAAAAGTAACAATCTAGGGGCAAGTGCACTCGTAAACCTAACGAGTGCAGTCGAGTGGCGAGTCGAGCGTCGCAGGCGAGCTAACTAGTGCTAGTAGGAAAAAACACCGCTAGCGACCACAAACACGCTGTATACGGACCATTTCAAAAGCGTTTAGCGATTTTTGTGAGCGTTCATTTGTTTTTAACGTTTTGCTATGCTTTCATTGTACTTTAATCGATGTTTATAGCTGCTAGTTCGAACTTGTTACAGTTTGTCCTAGTTCACTGGACTAGTTACGAATAAATATTACTATTCCGCAATCTCGAACTGGAATAGATATGTCATTATAAATTTGTCATTGAAAGTTATGTTCATGTGTAGTTATGTACATTCACATGGGGATCAACCCTTGTTTATCGAGAAAAAATAACCCGTAGTAGTTTGTTCATTTGTAAAAGCAGATATTTACAATTAGGGTCAGCTCTCTACGGATTTAATATCCCCGACTTTATTGTACTTTACAACTCCTATGTCGTATATATATATTGTTTTATCTTTTTATTTCTGTAGACATTGTGTTGCTACATCACGTACTGAATATATTGCTGTTTTACTAGTATTGTTTAAATAATAATGTTTGATTTACGGCCGTCGTACGTACGGGGGTGCCTTGGAATATTTATGCTATTAGTTTATAGCTGATGAAATAGTTTTCTTTAAGAATCAAAGATGAAAAAGACAAATATGTTTTCTATATATATCTTACAAATGTGGTCATACATTACGTGTTATGACATAACTTTGTGAAACTATTGTGAGCACTAATAAAAATACAGTCACATTTCTACTTCGAGAAGTAGGACTTGAAGTTAGATGATTTGTAAGCTGCGGACGCGCGGACTCGAACATTCGATGTGTGTAAAGGCATAGCCACAGTACAGACATTTTGTGTCTTATTTCGATACCGTGAGTTTTCATTTCACTTTCTGACCATAAACATCTTTTTCCGCAAACATTTTCGCAAATACTGAATTGTAATGACGTGACTATTAGCGCCACCTAATGACGTTCTGAAGAGCCGATCACGGTTACAGCATAATGATCGAGTTCCATCAGAGTTGTAACGGAATGACAATAACAATTGCCATCCACATTTATCGTGAGGAATGTAGTGACATTAATCTGGATCTACCGTTAGTTATTTCGAAAAATGTAATATTGATTTCCCCTCACCGATATATGAACCTAAACTAATTTTAGTTCATATAATAAAGTGTTGTAAGGTATAAAATAGTGTGGCACTCACCGTTGTACTCGTGTTGATCATGTGACTCCCGTTTGTCCCGACGGCCGAGGGTTTCCCTCCAAATGTTGTATGGTTCTCTATAATCTTCATCGACGACTGCCGGTCTGCACACAAATAACCTATTTTATTATCTCGTACGATTGTTTAAAGTTCCCCTAAAGCCCAACTAATTGAATTACTTTTTTTCATTTTTAATCTGTGTAATGGTTTTTTGTCCCATTACTTCGGCTGCAGTAGGTACCTAGGTAATTGATTCTACGTGGCTTTGTTGACGGGCCTGAACTGAAATTGTATGCATGTCTTTATTGTTTGACTGTTTTACGGTATACTATATATTTTTACAGTACCTGTACTAACTACTACTTCTGTCTGATGTAAGTGGTAATACTTTGTTTTAAATGCATGTTCTTTAAAGAATAATTACTATTGTATTTGTTTGTAAGTGAGTAATTCAATTTATTGTTATGCTTACCTCAGCATGTGTATTGGAGGACAGTTTGCTAGGGCGAGGGCAAGTCTTGGAGTCCTACGATTGTTTCTAGAACTCGAGCTGCCATGCCGTAAGGATGGACAAAATGGTTTCTTTAGTACGTTCGGTATCCTCCGCCTGGTCTTCTTGGTTAGGAGCACCACGGTTGCTGCGATAAATGCCCCTCCTCCCACTAGGGCGCCGCAAGCTAGACCCACTGAAACCCTCAGAGATGAGTTCCTCTTCTTCCTCGATGATGGAGGAATATCGCTCCTATAATATTCCTCAAGAAACTCGGCTGAGGTGTTCACCCAAGTCGGAACTGTTAACAAAAAAAAAAGAAAATGCATAAAAGTGGAATAACTTGGATGAAGTTCGCTTTCAGCTTCCACGTAAGACTAAAACAATGAGAGAAAATGAATAGATGTCGAGACCAGGACTAATTGTTGTTTTATAATGGAAGGGAATTTACTAAGAAATGCCGCCCGAACTCAGATAGTTTTCAACCCTCAGAGACTAAGGCTACGTGTTTAAGATTTGTTGGTGGTTTTTGCATTTTAGTTTTGTGTCTTACTTAAATAGGTTTGATTTTAATGCTAAACAGTTTGTAGTAGCGGTTGTTTGGAGATTTATTTAACTGTTCAACAATTTATTCACAAATCAAATCCTTTTATCTGCAATGAAGCTTAACAAACTAAACACGCATTCGAATCAACTTTCACCATAAAAGTTGTGAACCATTGGTTTTGAGTTTTATAGGAATTCGGAAATAGGTTGTATTTTAGAGTCGTTCAGAACTGGGTCTAAACTAAAACTGAGGTTAACGAAAATGGCGGAGTGCCAGTGTAATGCTCAGAAGGTGCCAAGAGTCAGTTAATTCTGCGCTAATTTCAAATTGTACATTTAATGAAGTGTATCTCACGGTTGCAGGTCTAGAAATAGAACTAAACGAGACTTGTGGGAATGGTGTCCGGACTCGCAAGATAAATAAACTGCTCTATTTTATTGTGTTAAACTTTCATATGAACTGTGAGAAAATATTTTAAGTTAATGTCTATTATGATAAAGGGCATGTTTATTACATTTATTTAAATAAGCAAATGGTGGTTTCTCGTACCGCAGTGGTATATACTAGCGGTAAGTAGTGGTAAACAATACCTACCCCATAGAGTACACAAGAAATGGGTATCGCGGTTCTAATATATAACAGTGTATTGTAATTGGTAATATCATTTGAAATAGTATAATTTATTGTAATATTTCGGCTATTTATAATATTGTTTATAATGTTAAGTATATGTCTATATGTGTGTCATATTACAACGCTAATATCGAATTCACAAGGCCTCCATATATAACCTAACATATTTACTAATGGATTACGTGTCTCGAATATTTCCTTCAAATATAAAAGCGTTTGTGAAAACGTCGTTTGACGTACATAAGTGCGTTTAGATGGCCGTTTTGTGTTTTCGAACAAACAACCAAATTATACGATACTCTTGAGGGGCTTTGATTTCTTTTTTATTATATTTTCTGTTTCCTAAACGAACTAGAGATAAAATATGTATTCATTACGGACTCCTTTTTTAGCCTGGAATTTTTCTTTTGATAATGAATTCTCAGAAACTATGCTCATATTTCTGACTTTCCCAAATATTACGATAAAAGATATTAAGAAAATTTTCACTTTGGGCTGCTAAATCCCCGACCGCGTAGGGTCAATGGCCTTTTAAGATTCTAGTTAGACCGAGCAAGCCAGTGAAATAAGATAGGTATTCTTTTTAAAATGAAGGTGGAAATATAAGTCCGAGTAAGTAGGTAATAAGCTAAAAAGGTGCAGCTTTCACGCTCATATTACCATTCTTTCACTTGCATTTTAATAATAACGAATATTATTTTATTCAAATTGAATGTATAGACATTCATAATGGGATATGTACCTTTAAGTAGGAATTAACAATACAACTTTTCATTTTGTCGTTTTTTAATGTCACACTTAAAAGTAGTAACATTAATGCTATTTGTTCAACCTAGTGGATGATTTGGATTGAAACGAAACCCAATATATCGGTTCAAAGTTGAATCGACGAGTGAATGATAAGCGGACAGGAGACGGTACTTTACGTATTTTCCATTCCGGTAATTAGACACGTATCACGATACTTGTACGGATTCCTAATTGGGGCAGATTAGGAATAATGATGATTCAGAAAGCCCGCACATCGCTCCACCGCCGGCGTAATTATGTTCAAAACTTGGCTGTATATCTTACGGAAGGTAGTCGTGAGCTAACATGGCTTACAATTATTATAATAACAATAAACTCAATGATTTTCAGTTTTGATTTGTTTTTGCAATTATTGTTTTTTTTTACATTCTACGTTTGTTCGTTGCTACGTTCTACGTATGTTTTTTTAGTTATACTGTTCCAAAGTACTGCTGGAAATCTACTGATCTCCACATGCCACTTTTAGATCTACGATGTCAACGGTTAGGTCTATTGTTCGCCTAGCTTTATAGATGTGTGACAATCGCGACAGACCATTTGACGTGCTCTCCGAACATCGTATACTATACTCTGGTCCACAACTCGTAATTTTCTTAAGGCAAAAACTGAAATATATATCACTTTTTGTTTGATTGTCAAACTAGAGTAGTACCTAAACTAGACTAGACTGTTAATCACAAAGAAAATAAAACAATGTTCTATTTAATTAAACCTTGTAAAAGGTTTTTGTAAGAAACCTAAATTAAATCTCGATTTTATGGAACTCCGCTCTTGTAAAGTTGAACAGTACTACACATTGTGTGTTCAAAGGACCACCGATATTGCTCAAAATCCATTTTCATTAGGATAATATCTCAGAGAGTGCGGGCGACGCGTCACAGCCTCCTCAAAATATAATTGGGGGAACGAAATAATCCAGATCAAAGATTTTCTTTAATTACAAGTTCTTCATTTAGCGGCCGGCGATTTATCACTTAAGAGACGATTTCCTCAAAAGAGCTGTGGATTAATTAGAGGATGATAAAATTTGTGAAATAGCCGCAGGCTTGCGAGTGCTCTGAACTGATAAGGAGGGCCCGATCAGGAGCGATACATCTATAAGTAGCGCCTCCTGCCAGGCTCCTCATTTTATCAAAGTCAAAAATCATCCAATCGAGATTATTGTCAGTTCACTTTTACTTTTGAACAATTTCTTTGTACAAAAAATTGTGCTCGATAAACTGTACCAGATTCCCGTTCGTGATTGCGAAAGATGTTTATCCCGTGAATTGAGCGCCGATTCGGACTACGCAAAATCAGTTGCGAATACCCAACAAATTATCTGCTGTTTGCGTTGATTTATTTATTTTTTAAGTAGGTACATTAAATTTACGCCGAGATTAAACACGTTTACGGACCCGTCGGAATGTTTCGGAGGTTTGGGTTGTAATTATAGTAATGGGAGGGTGGAAGCAAAGAAAGTTTAAGGATATTTTTGTGTGTGTGCAACGATCTGTTTGTTGTAGGTGAAGTAAGTGGGTTTACTCACCAGACTTGAAGCTGACTTCGCTGATTAAAATCCACTCATGTTGGAACCTGAGCTTCATCATAATATGCTTGGCAGTACGATTTTGTAGATCGATGTGCACGATCCGGGCGTGCTCCGACACCCTGTCCTGCTTCGGTTCGTGGGACACATAGTCTTCCTGCCAACGCTCTCCCTCTAGGGAGAAGTATACCTCGGCTTCTTTGAATAACTAATAAAAAAGAAAATGTACATTGTAATCATATGTATAACTCAGCCTGTACTTTACACACATTTCTGAAAGACATGCAATAAGGGCACATATAATTATCTAATCAAAAGTTTTACACAATATAGTAAATCGAGACACAGTCACAGTTTTTGGAGGTATTGGTTATCGCAAAGGCTTTGAATATAATTACCTGGACGTCCTTTGGTGAACATATTGTTAGTATGGACATCCATGTGGTAGAACAGGCGAGGCTCGCTAAAGTTGAAGGTTAGTGTAACTTCTTCGTCAATTGACATCGTTTTGTTCCATCCAACCCATCGGGATCCTAAGACAAAACATGATGATATTGGTTTGTGACAGAATTCGCTTTTACATAATAAATGATAATGATTTCATGTGATGTATTGTTATAAGATGATTTTTGTTATCGGCGACCTATGCTTAAGGTAAAGATCAATAACCGAAAAATCACATACCTCTTGTATCTAACTGGTCAGGTAGTTCAAAATCGTTTGGTCCTAACAAGGAGTCCGTCATCTGACCGAGGCCATTAATTAGTCGGCCTTCTCGGAAAGTCCCGTCGTAGCCGAGGTCTTCAAATCGAGCACCACCGGTCATCGCTTGCATATCCCCGCCCTTCGGGGCCGAGTATGCAATTACATCTTCTGCACAAAGAACATATATTGAATGTACCGCCCATGGGCGGCTTTTTATCGCGAGCACGTACAATTCGCAAAAAAATTATTAAAAAATTGTTGTAAGCAGTGGCAAAGGTTATGTCGCTTTGCATTGTCCCGGGACGCACCAGCAATTATAAGTCGTATCCGTCTTATACCTACGTTTCCATCTACAACCATATAGCTCCACTCTCATGCAAGCTGTCCGAGGATGCGCTGCGTACGGGAAAAAGCGTACTTTTGATGCAATGAACGGGGCTTCAAGTGTCGATTTTCGGGGGGTGTAGGTGTTCACGTTACCAGATATCAACTGCAATAAAAATAACAAGTAGGAATATAAAACCTGTTATAAAACAACAATGGAAACGAGTTGTGTCTATCCATCGAATAATAATGAACGTTAGAATGAACACTGACAAAAGCTACAAAGTTTTTTAAGTATACTTCCAGTTTACGCCTAAGCTATGTTTAAAAACAAGGAAAAGGGGCATTCAGCGTTGACGGACGGGTGAACACTTTGCACCGGGACTGGAATGAAATCCATCTCTGTGGAAATATTTTTGTACATATTTACGACATCGGCACTACAAAGAAAATGAAATCGTTTATCTTCTTTTGTCATTTCACGTGGAGCCGCATGTTTTGTTTTAACATTTTATTTTATGTAGGGCCGTTTATCAAGGGAAATTGAAAAATGTTAACCACTAAAGCGGTTTGTTTACAGACTGAGTGAGAGGGCTCGACATTTTTATTGTGAAGTAAAGATATGCGAAATTGCGATTGGTTCAGGTGAGCGAAACAGTTAGTCATACATGTTTGAAAATACTGGGCTCGTTTTTTCATAGGAATATTTTCCTGTGATTTATTTATGGAACATGTGTCTTACTTACATAATATGGTTGTAAAACTAAATTGTTTAATTTTTATTTATTTATTATTTTCTATTTCTGTGGTAGTTATATAATAGGTACAAAGTAGTTTATTATATTAGAGTTGCCACGTATAAACATATATACGCCTCAAGTACTCGTGCCGTTTGGTTGAGCGTAACCTAAGCACCCGCTCTGGGACTAATTTCACGTAACTTGAACCTTGTGTCTTCGGCACGAGCCCGAAACTTCCCTGTGATCCGAAGTATGTAAAGGAAAACTTTGAGGGTACTGATTTGTGCCTAATTGCTAAGTAAATTAAATGATTTATTTAACTTTTAACGTGTTTGATAATTATAGTATAAATTATCCATTTTATGTCTGGGAGCTAAAAGATTCTGTCTTCTTTAACGAAGTGAGAGGTGAATTAAGAAATGCTTGGATTAATAATTCATGAGATACATTAAAACAAGTGCTTCACTTATTTGGTTTCTACTTTGCTATAGATATATATCCACAAAAAAATTAATTACGAAAGTAAAATTAAGAAACTTTTAAATCGAAGCGGTTACTTACCCTGCTTCCGTTGAAATCTTTGTATTTGACCCAGCGGTTGAGAGCGAGTCGCCAATTCAACCGAGTAGCTCTCGACAAATTCTACTCCAACGGAGTTAGCGAACCTGCCTTGAGACTCGGTGCCAGTAATCAGGTATTCGTCACGTAGGTCGATCTCGAGGAACTGGCGACTCTTCGGCGAGATCAAACCGTTTGGACACCAAGCACCTCCCTTGATCTCCGTACGGATTCTGCAAAGACGTGTCTCGTTTAACTTCTCCACGAAGCTCCTTTTTATTCATCACAATAAGCGAGCAACAAGTGGACATAAAGTACAACCGAGCGTATATTTTCGTCGGTTTACCAACGTTTTTAAGTTCATTCCTGTACTTACTTAGTTAGCAAATGTATAAATAGACATTTAAGGCACGTTGGCGCATAAGCAAATAAAATTAGTGTAATAATGTAAGTAAATACAGTGAAACGTTTGTGCTTCGTCTGACAAGCGACGTGGGACACAGGTCGCGGGCCGCGCGGCGGCCTGGTGGCAGTTCTATTAGAATATCTGTGTGATCTCATCACTAGTAGCGCGGGAACAAAGCGCGCTAAGCGCTGAATTAACGTGGCATTTGCTAAATCGCCTCTGACCCTATGTAAAGTGGCTCAGATGATAAGGCTTCGGCACAGCCGGCCCTACTTACATCTTGTTATCTTTGGGGAGTCAAGCTCCGAAAGGCTTTTGTAGGATCACGGTCGTTCCAAATTCATATGAAAATTTAATTTTCTGTTAGTGAATTTCTCAAACGGGAGTCGAGTTTTCGCGTTATTGTCTCGCTTCGGGCTTATGCGGGCTTAAGGCCCCGAATGTGGGTCCCACTGTTAATTGTTTGAGCTAAGTATGAGCGTTTTGCGGCTGGGGGATTCACAATTATTGTAACAACTTGGCCGTATCATAGCGCTTTATTGTTGTTTAACAATGGGCAGCTAAAGACATTATATCGATTAAAGGGTTATTTGTTTCGGATTTGAGGGAATGTGTGTCCATTTATGACTATTATTTAGTAATTGTGTGCCCTCAATTGTTTGCATTAATAGGTGTCGTTATTCCATTAGTTTATGTTCGGAGAAAGGTTTTGCAAATAAGTACTTACCTAGAACTTAGCGGCGAAACACTTTGATCGTAGCTGGAACTTGCCGAAAGGGATTCATTGGAAATCATTCCATTTTCCATCCCGAGCGGCACGTAGCAACTTCCTCCTTCAGCTGAAAAAAATATCACATTTAATATGCAATATCATTCAAAGCTCGTTGGGGTCCTGTTAGAAGTATGTTTGTTGCAAATTATGCGAACGGATTTTACAAGGGGAAAGGGTCATGAAAAAATAAATTAGAATAGGTGACTATAAGAACTCGAAACCAAAAATTATTGGACTATTCTAATGTGTTACTGAGAATATAATTTTGTATTGTTATGTTAGAGTCGGTGTAATGTTTTTCTTTAATTAGGGTGTGTTGTATGGGCTGCGTCCGAGAGCGTGGCTGTCTTGCCCAAGGCGGGTGCTAAACTATTCGGATCGTTACCATTCCTTCCGTAATGTGTGTTTAGTGTTGCATTAGGAAGGGACGCTCTTGGGGAAATTCCGTGTTCTTTTAATATCGTTTCCTAATAATGTGAACCTCCCCAAAAGAGAAATAAACCTAAGTCTAACGCTTAACAAAGAATTAACTTTCACAAACGTATTTATATTACATGTACATTTATTTGTGATATTTAAGGTAAATGCACCTTATTCCGAGGGGTTCGAAAAATGGCATCATATTCCGATGTATTTAGAAAAACAGTTTTTTAAAGCAATTTACTAGTTATTTATGGTCTGCATGATAAAATAATGAATTAATAATTATCTGTTCATATTTATTTATACAAAGGAGAGTTTAGTATGGTCAAACTGTAAAATAATCGGTCATTTTGCCGCGGGGAGCGGCGTCGAAAGCACACTTCATACATTTGGGACCTTATGCACGTGAGTATTACGATTTGCCAAATAGTGTTTTACGTAATAATTTTATACAACGCGAGTTTTCGTTTAGGTTGAAATATTGAAAGGATAATATTTTTTATCGAAAACACTTAAGATTTGAGTATTTTATTTGCAAATTAGCAAGAAAATAAGTGTTTAAAATACTGCGGCATTAGGTGCAAAATATTTTAGTGTGTTCCTAAAAGCCGATGTATACCACGGAAAAACAAATTTAAAGACATTTAGTTTTTTTAAATTTCGGTGTCTGTTTTATGATTATAAACTTTAATGTGTTAGTTCTGACTTAATGAATAACTCATACATTTAATAATCTATTTCCGAGGTACACCGTGGCGTCGCATTTACTAATTATAGCAGGTCAAAAATTGTTTGTACAGGTACTTTATTAATACGTTGTATAGAAGATTTTAGTGAAGACATTAGGTTTTATAAGTGTTCTGTTATTATATGTATGTACTTTATATTTGTTTTCCTTTCATATTGTAACTATACATTATTTTATTTGCATAATATTAAAAAATCTTTTACTTTTTAGTACTCGGAATTAGAAACTTTGATTTAGCATCATAAAACGCTATTCCGATGTATTTACGTCGGAATAAGGTTACATGAGTACCTAATTCCGATGTATTTACGTCGGAATAAGATTACATGAGAACCTAATTCCGAAGTTAGTTAAGACCCTGTTTAAATACAGAGTGTTCATTATTTTATGTGCTTAGTAGATACGCGTTTAGTAACTGAAAGAATACTAATCATCTATACAAATACATAAAATTGGAGTGTGTGTTTGATATTGTTAATTCATTTTTATATTTTTATAAGATTAAGGAATAATATTAATAAAAAACAGGGTTTAGAATAAAACTAGAATAAACAAAAACAGAATTGATTTAAGTAATATAAAAAATAAACAGATTTGACTTTTAAACATCATGTATAATTCTCCCTACATAGTTCCCTTTCTATTTTTATACTCGGAATTAGGAACCAAATGCATCGGAATTACGATTTTTAAATCGGAATAAGGTACCTCGGACTTTTTTATATTTTTATTTATTTTATCAGCTTCAATAACCTTCTACTGACAAACTGCAAATATTTTTCAAAAATTTGATAGCTAACACTTCTGATAAAAATATAAAATTGTACACAAAGGTCCGATAAATACTTAATTTATAATGTTCTTTCGTGTTATGTTAAAAACAGCGCGGAATTAGGTGCCTTTACCTTACTGTGGATAGGAAAATCTTATCTCTCAGATTTTGTCACTGATATAGTTAGGTATTTTAAAGTCGTAATCCAATCATTTTGTTTCAGAATAGCACTAATTTATTGGGGAAATAAAAAGGCTAAATTATGCTATTCACTGTTAGTTCTGTGACGGGCATAGAAATAAGTAATTTTAGTAGGTTGTAAACAAGCCGATGGACGACCTAGTGGGCACTGCTACCAGTGATGTCTGAAGTACGCGATGACGCTAATGTGCGGTAATAGACGATTTTAAAATCTTGACTACCAGATCAAGATCATAAACTTTAGAATTATCGTGATACCTCCTCCGTACACAAGGAAATATGATATCCTAAACATTTCTCCGGAACAAGTTTTGTACATTTATTTGTCATATACTTTATCAATAACAATGCTAACGAGCATTATAGTAACATTATACGTGTATGAATTTAGGATTTTGTACGGATAAAAGCTTCGATCTCTGCAGCCCTCAGGGTGGAATAACCTATGGGGTGCTTGGAACCCCATCACCCGGTTCATATGTGTTCACCCCAAGGGTTTTAGACCTTCCCTTATTAGAGCAGTTTGTTACTTAGAGACCTTTGTTTTGTTTATACGTATTTTTGTAAACCCAGCCTGGGGATATTTGCTGTTGTATTTGTAAATGCACTTTTGATGTTACACAATATTACAAGTTGAAGAAAATGGTGCTTGAAATAATAATCTTTGTTAAAATAGAATTGTGTGTGTAAGTTGTAAATAATATTATTGTGAACATGAAAAAGACAGTTTTGATTTTGTAGTTCATATAAAATAAATTAAAAGAACATACAAATGTAAGCATTACTCTAATAACAACAGTGGTATAGATATATGTTGAATGCTTTAATGTACGATAACTCATAAAAAGACAAAACTGGTCCATTTAGAACCTATTACACTAATAAATATAATATACTTAAAACATGAAATGATTTTCTTTCAATTTTGTATAATAAATTCCTTCATTAAATCAAATTTTAAAAACAAATGAAATTGTGTGCGGATGGGAAAAATCTAATTCGGATTTTCACGCACAGCGTAATTTTAACGTGATAATATTACATATCTATGCCAGTATACATGTATTTATTATTGCTACCCCTCCCCACGTCCCCTGCCAAATTGTATGAGACATTGTTAAAAAATAACGACTTGTTTATGTTTCATTATAAAATGTTCAGACAAAATGGAAATTGACTTCGTTTCGTTATCGAATACAAAGTTGAAGAATTAACTAAAAATATCTTTCGTTTTTAGCAGTTATTTCGTCAAAAACCGGAGAAATAATAGACGCTATTAATTATTTCATTATTTTATAACCATTATGCATTGACCCATTATTTTATCTACGAAATGGAAGGTTATGGAATGTGTCTTGTTTTTCTTAAATAATGTATGAAAATGAATGCCGTGTTCGGAAAATTCTAATGTCTCTCATGGTAACCTGCTTATTTACTACTCGCCAATTTATATAAATGGGTTTTCCTGTACTGTTTTCGTCTCCAGGGAATATTGTATGTGCATATTTGTTTTGAGGAAAAATGGAATCTAGGTTAAAGTAAGCCGAGGTAATAATATAGGTACATTTCCATAAAACATTATGTTGTTTTGAATGGTACTTATCTTTTAAGGCTCTCAATTAATCTTAAAACATGTTATATAATGGAATGTGTCAATGCTAATTTCAGATACTATTTAAAACCACAAAACTAGTCCTCTCTGTTTTAATAGAAACACATGCCGTATTTGCTAAAGTATACAAATCCACGGGAGTGCTTAGCATGGCTCGAAAGCTTGCCAGTTTCGAAAACAATGTTCCAACCAGCAAGATTATTAAGGACGTATGCGTTCCGCCTTAATCTGACAAACAGGCGTGTGAGGGATGTGCACCTAATCCAGAGAATCGCGAGGACACGTGATAAATTACAGAGGAACAAATTACGAGGAACTGGTGTGAGTAAAACCAACAATTTATTAAAAAGACAAATGAGGCAGGCCGTCGCAAGGTGCTTTTAATTATTACACGATAATACTTGTCAAAACTAACGACATGTTTACAAGCGACGCTTTGTGGTCGGCGTTGGTAAAAAGTAGATACTAGTTTTATCCAGTAACAGTAATTAATAAGATCATTGAAATACCAATTATTCTAAAAGCCTACACCAAAATTGTAACAGTAATTCAATAATTACCAAGACATTGTTCAATAAGAACAGAATTGAACATTAATAATGAAGTTTATGAATAGCAAGCATCAGCAAATCCAGTTCAGAATTAACTCCAGTTCACAGCCCCTCCCCGAGGGTAAACTAAACTTACTACCTCATTACATTAATTGCCCGTCGCAAAGGAGAATAACTATTAAAAATTCATTGTTTTAGCCTCCCACCAAATTCACTGGAATAGCATTATTAATATTTAATTCTACAATGACGCCGCGCCTAATGCTCTTCATTTAAAATTCTTAACAAACTTAATATTTGAGCAGGGTGGCCTTCCCGAGGACCCTATGCCTATTAAAAGTATATCAAGATGTTTTTGTTTATTCGCAGTCGTTTCGCTTACAAAGCGGCATGTGTTCGAGGCCCAGTTCAACTTTCCGCTGTGTGGGCCGCAGTAGAGAGCGCGTTTTGCTGAAATTCCGCGCGGGTAATGTTTCACATGGGGTATCTCGGTAAGGAGACTAGACTTGCACGCTCAGTGGTACATAAATTTTCCGTTGGTACCGCATCGGAACCGCAGTAGGTAGCGGAACGACGTCCGTACCTCGTACGTGTTGCGCTGCCAAATAAAAATGTGGGTGGGACCTTATTTTGAACATTAGCTAGAGACTCATATGGAGCAGCCGTACGAATAGGGAAGTAGGATATATGTGTGCGGCAGATACGCGTGTGTACGATACATAAACCTGTCTATTTATTATGATAACTACATATTTTATGA